GAGCCAGGGCATCGGCCTGCGTGCGCCTGCCGGCCGACGACCAGCGGCCGCTGGCTGACCGCCACCGTCGCCGTGCTCTCCGCGAGCCTCGTCGCACAGGTCGTCGACGCCGCCGTTCTCGTCCTCGTCGGCAATAATGCGCGGTGGTGGCGCGCCCGCATGAAGAGGCCTTGGTGCACCATGGTCCTGGGCAACGGCGTCCTCATCAGCATCCTCATCGCCGGCATCATCAGCAGCTCCGACCTGCCGCGCTACGTCGACCGAACCGTGTGGGTATTCAAATACGAGCGGAGCGTCGACACGGCGAGCGTCTGTCGGGGGACGCTCATCTCGGCTGGCGTCAGAGGGTCGATCATCGGGTGGACGGATGGGTTTCTTCACAGCTGGGGCGAGACGTACTCGGGGTTTTGACGCGGATCTGATTTGATGAGGCTGTGACGGGCTTATGATGGGCTGCCTGCCGTGCAGCATTCTGTGTGTCTATCTCTTTGATCTAGATGTAAGGCGTTGGGTTCAGCTTGAGCGTTCACTCGAATTACGCCGGGACGATGCGCTTCAATTGAGTTTATCTTGAATCTATCCAACTTCTTGGGAGCATGGACACGGCATGCTCTACATGGTATGGCGGGCCATAGTTCGAGATCAAATTCGATCACAAGGCAGGACCGAAACCCGGCATCTACACCTCACAAGCCATCATGGCACCCCCAAAGTCATGGATGAGGCCCCTGCAGTGTGGCACCTGTCTCCTCGAGGAGAATGTATACCCATGGAGTTCTGGGACCTTCGTTGCCCTTTTGACCCCCTCCTATCATCACGTCGCGGGCATGAACACTCTGCACGTTGAAACGAAGAACAATAGACTTTCTCATGTTGACCAAAGAAACCGATATACCAGCCGGCACAACCAGCTTGTTCTCGACCGCTCATTCTACCATCTCGATCATGAATTCCAGGGGCCAATAAGCCTCATCATACTTTTGTCTTTCCGATGCGTCACGCGCACCCTTTTGATTCTTTTCTCTTCCGTATAACCCATTGATTACTCGCCTGCGTAGATAACACCAGTGATATGCATACTTCCGTTCGTAGCCCTCGCCCATACACACTGGGCACTCCTCCAAGCGGAGGAAGCCATGACAACAACGCCTGCCGTGAATCTGAAAACGAAACTACTGAATCTTCGCCATACGTTTGGACATGCTGGGGGACAATATTAGCGAGGATCAAATAGCCAAGAGCGTGGAAAGGACTCACAAATCATAGAAAGCAAACTGGCCGGGGCT